TCACAATATACAAGAGGTTTTCAAAACGTTTCCGCACTTTTATATATATATATCTATAACAGAGGTTTAACAAGTGAGGAAACTTTTTGAAGAACTTTGTAGAAGTGAGATGATACTTTCTTAATGTAAATTGTATTTTCTCATTGGTCAATAGTTTAGACAAATGTCTACAATATAAAGTATGAAAAAGACAGTCCAAGTCAATAGGGCCTGTATGCTTGTTGCTGTTGATAAGGAACACCCTAGGGATCAACAAAATAATTAAATGGACTCTTTTCACAGCAACTATGTTGTGTTTGGACTCGCTGTGATTTGGATAATTCACTGGTGCGGGAAATCCTAACATCAACCCAGTTATCAGAACTGGCTGGTCCATTTACCCTGCAGCCACTTCAGGAGGCAAGAACTCTCCTCACAGCAGGTGAGGTTACACCTGCAAATGTAATTGTCAAAAGGTCATCATTTTGTTCTATCTTCTCTCTACAAATTTGTAGCATGAAAAATTATCATATTTTCAAAAACACTACACTTACAAAATTTTCAACATTCTCCTGCCCACAAGACAAAATAAATAGTGCTGACTGTAAAGTTTATCTGTGTTTTTTTTTATCTCTCTTTTGTTCCATAGCAAATAGCCAAACTTCTGTATGACTATTTCTTCTTTGCCTTTTTTTGTAATATTATTATTATTATACAGTATTTATAAAGTGCCAACAGTTCGCTCAGTGCTGTACATTATAATGGGAGACAGTACATGCGACAGTACAAAATATTTACATAATATTTACTTCTATGTTTTTATGCACTGCCCAGCTAGGAATATTAAATGTACAAAATGGCCTAAAAAGTGGCCTTCTATGCACTAAGCTAAGAAATCATAGTCATAGTGATTTTTGCGCCATTTTACTAGTGCCTATATGCTTGTCCATACATTTCCTGTTAATATGCATGAAATTGCAATGCGTGGTTGTTGATTGTATGCAGATTAGTGTCAGCATGTTGAAGCTATCATATCTGCCAGACAAGGGTGGGTGTACTTGTGTGTGTCAGTGTGTGTGCAAATGTGTGTATGATGGTTTCCAAGCAGACCAGTTGCCTGACAAACTGCAGGTGGTGGCAAGATAACCAAATCGTGTGACTGGTACATTTGGGTGGGTATGTGGACAGAGGGAAAGGTAAACATGCACCAGGATTCCAGCTCACAGGATAGCTTGGGGAATCTTGAAAAGTATTCCAGAATTACCCAGCTGCTTCACAACTCTTAATCCTAGTACACATGATCATAAAACCGTACGAAAAATACTGCTTTCAAATCGATCGTACAATAATCTAATCATTAGTACACAGCTTTCGTCCAAAATTGATCAAAGGAACAAGCACAAAAATGTTTTGTTCAATCAGCACAGTTTCCATCCGAAAATACAATACAAATACATTACATCACTTCTGAATTTTTATTCTGTCATGCAAGAATTTTCATAACTTTAATAACCTCTTCACTTTTGATTTGAGACTAGAATGCAAATAAAATGGATGGTCATTTTCCCAATATTCGTCCAATATTCGGGGCTTTAGAGTGCGCCAAGTAACATGCATATCTGCCTGTGTGTGCCCAGCCAGCAATACTCAGGTAAGTTGCTTTCCAGTGGTGGCCAGTTGTATTGTAGGCTGTGATAACTATTTAACATCACTGTTTTACCTACTCAAAGGAAGGTCTCTCCTCGCTCCTCCTCACCGAAGCATGAACCCTTCTCCAGTTAGTAAGTCAACATAGCCACAATTACATGACTTGGCTTGATTGTTTGGATCTGTAGCAGAGCTGATCACAATTTTTAGGTAAGCTCCATAGTTGGAAGAGAACTGGAGCTGAATTTACGAGACAGAGCAGAAATTAGAGTGGAGCCGAGCTCCAGAGTCTAGAGCTGGAGCTGATATTCTGCAGCTGCCTTCTTCATTGCTGCTTTACTTTAATGTCATACCTTTAAAATAACATAAGTCAATACGGAATTCATTTTGTAGCACTAAAATAAATGTCTGATTAGTGAAATATAGTCTTACCAAAATGTATTTTATTGGATTTATTTTTGACTTTGTAATCTTAGTGCACTCTTGAGATATGCATTCAGTAGGTTACATTTGCAATTCTCATCATCCTATTATTTTAATACAGTCCCATATGGAAGAAAAATATATTTGAAATATGTTATAAAAATATTCTACCTAAATATATTGAAATATATTTGAAATGCTACAATTTTGGCCATATTCAATATATTTAGAAACATTTTTTAATAAATATAAATATATACAGTATATATATATATATATATATATATATATATATATATACTGCATGTTGAAATGTGTTTTTATTACAAAATATATGAAAAATATTTTTCAAAATACATTTCAAATATACTGTATGTCTTTAATAATACAAATCTACATTTTTGGAATGCATTTACAAATATATGTAAAAATATATGTTAAAATGACTTAAAAGTCATTTTAACATATATTTTTTCATATATTTGTAAATGCATTCCAAAAATGTAGATTTGTATTTTTAAAGACATACAGTATATTTGAAATGCGCTCATTTCTGCCTAGCAGCACTAGGGTTATCAGTTTGAATCTCAACCATGGGAACTACTTCCTGGAGTTTGTATGTTCTCCCTGTGCCTGCATGGGTTTACCACACTCCAAAGACATGCTATAAGGTTAATTGGCTTCTGTCTAAATTGCCCCTAGTATGTGTATGTATAAATGTGAGTTAGGGACCTTAGATTGTATGCTCCTTGAGAGCAGGGACTGATGGGAATTTGAAATATATAAATAAATAATACATTTCCACAGAGCTTAGTAAATATGGCAAAGTTCTGCTGACAGCCGGGCCCACTGCACATGTGCGAGAAGTGCTGCACTTTGTGAATGGCCCGGCATCTTCTGGGACCTGTCATGTGTCCCAGCCGGGTGCCCACACTAAAGATGCCAGCGTGGGAAGACTGTACAGCGCTGGACTGAGGAACAGGTAAGGTCCTGCTGCAGTGAAGAGCTGAGCGACCGGCCCAGTATTCTGACACAGTGGAAGTACCGGACCGGCCACTCCATATTCACTCCATAAGATGCACTGACATTTTCCCCCATTTTTGGGGGGGGGGAAAGTGCGTCTTATGGATCGAAAAATACGGTACTTAATTAAAGCGGAACTTCACTCTCTTGGTCAACATGGACTATTTCTAATCCTTACGCTGCTAGTATTAGTAAATAAATAGGAAAGTAAATCATGTTTACTAGTTTTAACCTTTTTTTTTTTGCATTCTTTCATTTACTTCCTGGTTTCCATGCCTAGGCAAATTATGTCATACATCCCAGGAGTCTTCAGGATGGAAGGGAGAGTTCTCAGCTCAGTCAATGCCTGAGCTAAGGACAGATGGGTTCCAGGAAGTAACTGTCACATGAATCATCTGCCCTTACTCAAGATGGCCATTGCCAGAAATGCTAGGAATTGTTTTTCAAAATAATTTCTCAGCAAAATAAAGCATGGAGACATGGATGGATAGAGGAGTTTGTCTTAAATAATAAAAATGAATTATATAGCATTTTTGGTTTGTGGTACTCAGATGCAGTGCAGCTCCACTTTAACTTACATTCTAATAGCCTGTTGTTTATTTTCCATATGACAATATAGTTGGTAATATTCTAGTACTTGATCTAATATAGGTCATTGCAGTATGTTGTCAGGTAACCAGGTGTGTCAGAGGGGACAAAGCAGTACACGGAGTTGTGGCAGAGAGCAGCAGACCCATCATACCAGCTCCTTTGGGCATAAGCTCTACTTTCAATTAGGTTAAAAAAATATGTATGTATGTATGTATACTGTATATAGAGGGCTAATGTTTAGTGTTTTAGGTTTTTTTATAGCAAGGCATATTTTATGTTAATATAATTTTTCTATTGTTTATTTTGGGGTCAGTAGTGTGATCTTTTTCCATAGACAAGCAAAGCTGCCCTTTGTTTGCAGCACTTCATTGCACACTGGTGCATTCCAGTTTAGTATATCAGTTCACCTCATTCTTAAGTACACCAAGGCACCAGATCCTTATTCCCCTTTTATCATAGCTGGTAGTAAAGTTAGGCGATTCCCTATATTCCTAATATCATGCAGGCCTAACAGGAGAGGCAGAGGTTTTGTATGCAAAGCTAGTAAGAGGTAAGCCAGTTCTGCATCTGCAAATTAAAAAATGTACCATTTAGAAGAGGTGCAGTGGAAGACCCGTTTGGCCACATTTCGGGAAAGTGGAAGGATCCGCTCTGATGCCCAACCTGTTACTCAGATCCACATTGTCAGAAGAGCCCAGGGACAGTTAAGGAAAACGTGAAAAAGCTGTTTTACATCAGAGAACATGCAGATTATGCCAAGAAAACACCTTGTCATCATCATCAACTCTATGAAGCCAGTGTCAGATCTGGTGGCCTTATCTTGCAAATTTTTGCAATGATGTCTTGGTCTAGGACTTGCTTTTTTTAAAGGTATTGCGAAGATTGCACTGCCATCCATGCCTGTGTTTGGTTCAGCATGGCATGGATGCCCTTACAATGAAAAAACTGAAACAAATGATTGAATACCAAAATACTGTTTGAGAAAACACATAGAAAAAGCTATCACGTCAGTATGCAGAAAGTCTGCCTCTCACTTTAGACCTGGTAGAGCTTGTTTTATAAAAAAAAAAATAATTTACTAAATGTAATGTCAGCTAAGACAAAGCAGAGGGAAAAAGGGATGGCTTGGCACGCACAACTGTAGTAGCTTCACCTGTGTCAGCAGCAAGTGCTAAACCAAAGCAACCTTGTGGAAGGGCAGCCAGACTTTTTCCCTAGGTTCTCCCTTGCAGCTATACCACCAGAGCAGTGGATCAAGCCACCAGATTTACTAAATGTAATGGCAGCTATGGGAAACAGGGAGAAAAAAAGAGGGTGTTTTGTTGCAAACAACTGTACCCTACAAGCATGTAGCGACATGCTGAAAATAAACCTGTCTGTGTCAGCAGAGTAAAAGCATAACCACCTTGTTCGAAGGTAGTCAGCCTCAGGGGCAGACTGACACCTCTTCGGGCCCCCGGGCAATAGGGGATCATGGGGCCCCTGTGTCCTTGCCTACACTTATACCACACCCAAAAAAGCCTATGAAAGGTACCAGGGGCATCTCATGGGGCCCCCTACTGATCCCGGGCCCTCGGGCAGTGCCCGAGTTCCCAAATGGTCAGTTCTCCCCTGGTCAGCCTATGGTCTTTGGTTCTCCCCCTGCAGCTATACCTATAACATGGTTCACTAGCACTGCTTTCCCAAAACGGGTCAATTTGGGTCTACTCTTGGATGGTGGCAGTAGACTCCTCAACAGATTTTTCCCGTTGTATCATAGAGAAGTTAGACATACACTTGAAAGCCTCCACCAATGACATCACACCTATGACAAAAAAGGGTGGTATTTCAGTGCTGTATCACTTATTTTCATCAATCACTACCAAGCTGCCTCACAGAGTTGGCTGGGAGTCAGACCTGGTCTTGGAAATTGACAAGGAAGGCTAGAATTTATGAACCACTAAGATACATTAGGGCATGTTGAATGTGTCACTCATAGAGGCCAGGTATAAAGTCCTCTCTCTTTAGTACAAAGTGCCCAGACTTGCCAAAATTTATCTTGAGAATTCTCTGTGTTTCAGAGAATGTAGCCAAAAGGACATCATGTTCCACATTTGATGGACTTCTCCCAAAATAAGAGGTTTTTGGACCAGAATCTATGCGCTGATACTTTATGTCACCATGATCAACATCTCAATGAATGCACACATGGCCCTCTTAAATGAACTAATAGATGACATCCTGAAGTATTTCTAGATGGTTCAAGAAATGCGAATAGAACCCAAACATGTTCGCCCATTGCTAGGGTTAAGAGGGTAATCTTCAACTGCTGGCAATGTAAAACCTGCCATTAAAACCATGACAATAAAAAAATAGGGATGATGGATAGGAGCTTAGTCTCAAGCAGCAGGGAGATACAACAAAGAACTCTACTGCACGCTGGATGGACTGCAAAAAAACACCCTGGGAAACATCTCCTGCAAGTCTGATTCCCACTCCATGTACCTTTTAATATGCCCCCTCTACTCCTCCTTTTCATATTACTATCCTCTGTTCTCAAAATTTCTTTACCCCTCTGCTTCACCCCAAAGCTTATACATATCACCCTCTCTTCTACCATCTTCCTACTACAGCTCCCATCTCCTCCTACTAATACTTTACTCACCTGCTGACCCGAACACCAGGACAGGAAGGCATGTGCCCTCATATGTATCCTGCTCCCATCTTACTTTCCTCACCCTCCTTCTTCTCCTAACCTCTGGGGATATCTCCCCAAACCCTGGTCCTCCAGTATCTCACGCCCATATCAGGCAGCCTCCTTCCTCCGGGAAAAGCCGCAATCCACTCAATTTAATCTCAATCCCCATGGTTCTAACATCCACTCTCCCTATTTCATGTGCACTCTGGAATGCTTGTTCTGTCTGTAATAAGCTCACCTCTGTCCATGACCTTTTTGTCTCCCACTCCCTTAACCTACTAGCAATTGCAGAAACCTGGTTTCAAGCATCATATTCTTCTTCTCCCGTAGCACTTTCTTATGGAGGCCTTCTCTGGACTCACTCACCCAGACCCAGTGGTCGGAAAGGAGATGGAGTTGGTTTGCTTCTATCCCCACTGAGCACCTTTCAAGTTCTCCCTAACCCTCCCTCTCTATCCTTCTCTTCTTTTGAGACTCACTGCATTTGGCTGTTTTCTCCTATTTCCTGAGGATTGCAGTTATCTCCTGACCTGCTGGAGCGGTGTTGCACTTTCTTGATGACTTCTCTGCTTGGCTTCCCTACTTTCTCTCCTCTGAAATACCCACTATCATTCTTGGAGATTTTAACATCCCCATTAATGTGAACAACCCAGCTACATCCCAACTCTTCAACCTAACCTCATCTTTTGCCTTAACACAATGGGTACAGTCCTCCACTCACTCTGATGGAAATACATTAGACCTTCTTTTCTCTCATTTTTGCACTCCCTACAACTTCACAAACATCCCCTTTCCTCTCTCTGATCACAATCTCATCACCTTCAAAGTGTCCTCGTCTTCACACACTTATCCCTCCAAGCAGCAAACAATTACTGCAGAGACCTTCACAACTTAACCTTCTCTTTACAACTTAAACCTGCCTCTATGACAGAATCTCTCCCCTGTCCTGCCCTCACCTGGCCACTGCTGTCTACAACAGTTCGCTTTCATCCACACTAGACTCACTTTCTCCTCTAACTACACAAAGTATCAGGCCCTGACCATTACAACCATGGTAGACTGACGACACCAGAAATCCTAAGTGACATAATCATGCATGTGGCGTAAAAACAAATCTCAGCAAGCATCCACCTTATATAAATCTGCTTTCTTAACATACAATTCCTTCCTCCATGCTGCCAAACAAGCCTACTTTGTCACTCTTATTAATACTTTGTCATCCAGTCCTCGTCGTCTCTTCTCTACTTTTAACTCTCTACTTTCTCCACCTCCATCTCCACCCAGTAACTCACTCACTGCTTACAAGATTGCAAATCATTTCAAAAACAAGATTGATGCAATTCGTAGGGGCATCTCTGCTACACAGACATCTATCCCACTTAGCATACCTTATACTAAACCTCCCTCAACACTTTCCTCTTTTGACCTTGCTACAATTGAAGAGGTTACTAATGTTTTCTCAGAAGCCCATCTCACCACCTGCCCCCTGGATCCTGTCCCCTCTCAACTACTACAGTCACCCTCTTCTTCTCTCCTATGCTTCCTCACTCACATCTTCATTCTCTCCTTCTCTAATGTTGCCTTTCCCACCCCTCTAAGCATGCACAGATCACTCCCATACTTAAAAAGCCCTCGTTGGACCCCACCAACCTGAAAAATGTAAGACCCATCTCCCTGCTTCCCGTTTACCTCTAAACTCTTAGAACGCTTAGTCTACAATTGCCTGAGCTCCTACCTCACTGACAACAACCTTCTTGACCCTTTACAGTCTGGCTTACGCTCACTCCACTCCACTGAAACTGCCCTACTAATACTCACTAATAATTTACTAACTGCTAAAACCAATGGCCACTACTCCATACTCTTACTACTTAAGCTCTCTGTGGCTTTTGATACTGTTGAACACCCCTCCTCCTCAAAAAACTCAACTCTCTTGGCCTCTGAGACTTTTCTCTCTCCTGGTTCTCCTCCTACCTATTGCAGCCCTTCTTCAGCGTTACTTATAACTCTGTCTCCTCCTCTCCACTTCCTCTTTCTGCAGGGGTCCCTCAAGGTTCTGTCCTTGGACCCCTTCTCTTCTTCATCTACACCTCCTCTCTTGGTCACTTGATAAACTCCCATGGCTTTAAGTACCATCTCTATGCTGATGACACACAAATCTATCTTTCTACTCCTCACCTCACCCCTTCAGTCTCCTCTTGCATTACTAACCTACTAAGTGACTTATCAGCATAGATGTCCACATCCTCAAACTAAATCTTTCCAAAATGGAAATCATACTATTCCCTCCATCTCCTGCCCCCTTCCTTGACTTCTCCGTCAAGATCAATAATACATCCATCAGTCCCTCCCCTCATGCCAAGGTACTAGGCATAATCCTAGACTCCCTTCTGTTCTTTCAGCCCCAAATCCAATCACTGTCCAAATCTTGTAGACTTCACCTCCGCAACATCTCCAAGATACGCCCATTATTAACCTCTGAAACCACTAAGCAACTTATTCACTCCCTTGTTATCTCTCACCTTGACTATTGTAACTCTCTTCCTCACTGGCCTACCTAATCGCAGGCTATCCCCTCTTCAGTCTATCATGAATGCTGCTGCCAGACTCATCCACCTTACTAACCATTCCATATCTGACATCCCTCTCTGCCAATCCCTCCACTGGCTTCCCATTGCCCAATAAATAAAATTCAAAACATTAACAATAACATATAAAGCCTTTTATATGTCTCCAAATATCACCTAAACCGTCCTCTCCGCTCCTCCCACGACCTCCTGCTCCCTAGCTCCCTTGTTTCCTCCTCCCATGCTCATCTCCAGGACTTCTCCAGAGCCTCCTCCATCCTCTGGAACTCTCTACCCCAATCTATCTGACTATCGCCTGCTCTGACCACTTTTAGGCAATCTCTGAAAACCTATCTCTTCAGGGAAGCCTATCCCGCCTGCAGCTAATAACAGAATCTTCTATTCCTCCTATCAGTTCATCCCCCCACAGTTATTGCCTTTTGTACCAGGCAATAGATTGTAAGCTCCAAGGAGCAGAGCCCTCCTATCCCTCTTGTATTTAACTGTATCATTGCTGTATTGTCTCCCTTTATATTGTAAAGCGCTGTGCAAACTGTTGGCGCTGTAATAATAATAATAATAATAATAATAATAATAATAATAAAAAATCATTTTTAAAAAAGCGAATAGCATATTGTCCATACATAAGTAGGACCCCAATCCCCATCAATAGCATTCCCTGTTATTTCTCAGTTAAAACTAGAAAGCCTCTCCTGTACATATGACACTTTCCATCACACAGGACTCCCTTTCACTGTCATGTATAGTGGTGATTCCCTACCACAGTTCTCAAGTACCCCCAACAGGTCATGTTTTCAGGATCTCCTTCATCTTGCACCAAGGTTTTAAATCAATAGTTTGTATTTATGAGAGCAATTTTATAAAAGGGAACTCCCAGAACATGCCTGTTGGGAGTACTGAAGGAGGTTGGGAACCACTAATGTATACTGTTACTATATGCCATAGTAAGATGCCTTTTAAAAAGATAGTTTGTCTTACATGAATAAACAAATGAACACATTTGCATAGAGAAGTGTGGGGCTTTCAAAGTGCTTACAACATCAGGAATAGACATAAATAACTACAATATTAAAAATCCATATATTTTATTTCCTTTATTATGAAAAGTATTAAAATATGCATCAAAGTCACATTCAATCTAGTTATAACAC